TAACGTCTGAAGTACGGGGTGTAACAACATGTACCCTTATAAACATTTATCCTTGAATATTAACTCTCAAAGGCTTGCAAAAAAAAATATGGGACGTAAAATCACTTTATATACTTTCCAAAAGGATCTCATTTCTGAGCTTACATCAACGGACTTACGACGTACTTTCACGTACAAAAACATGGGTTGTAACACTCCACTTGCTCGACATCATCAGCAAGTTGCTCCCCCTGCTCAGTAACCTCACCTTGCTTCTACACTTGTGGGATAGTTTGAAGCATAAGGAATGGTAACAAGGTTAGGGATTATACCATTCTTTGTCTTTTCTGACTGATCATCTACAGCTCCAACTTCACTTTCTCGGAAGATTACATCTCTGCTTATAATGACCTTCTTCGTTACAGGATCCCACAATCTGTACCCGAACTCTTCATCTCCGTATCCGATGAATATGCAGGGAATGGATCTATCATCCAGCTTTGTTCTCTGCTTCTTTGGTACATGTGCAAAAGCTTTGCAACCGAACACCTTTAGATGTGAGTAGGACACCTCCTTGTTAGTTCAAACTCTCTCTAGGATGTCAAACTCCAATGGAACTGATGGACTCCTATTGATCAGGTAACAGGCTGTCTGAACTATTTTACCCCAGAATGACTTAGGTAGTTTAGCCATTCTGAGCATGCTTCTCGACTTCTCAACAATGGTGCGGTTCATCCTCTCGGCGACACCATTGTGCTGTAGGGTTCTATGAACTATCTTTTCATGTCTGATCTTATGACTTGAACATTACTCTTCATATTCCCTTGAAGTGTACTCACCTCCATTGTCACTTCAGAGGCGCTTTAACTTTCGACCTGTCTCCCTTTCCACCAGCAGCATGAAACTTTTGGAAAACTTGAAACACCTGATCTTTGGTTTTCAAGATATAAACCCACAATTTACGTGAAACATCATCAATAAAAGTAATAAAATATTTGTTACCGCTCATCGATTCAATTTCCATTGGACCACAAACATCAGAATATACTAAATTAAGCATATTCAATTTTCTTTCAGACGATGTCTGAAATGAGACTCTATGTTGCTTACAAAATAAATAATAGTCATAAAGTTTTACTGTTGTTCCTTTGGCAAAAGAGATGAGTGATTTCCTGGCAAGAATCTTCAATCCCTTCTTGCTCATATGACCCATTCTTTTGTGCCACAAATCTGCAGAAAATCTCATCTTGTGCCGCGTTCAATTCACCTCGACATAGTTCTGCGTTTGTCTTGTACAACGTGCCGCAAGCAACTCCCTTTTCAATCACCAATGATCCCTTGGTGAGTCTCCACTTCTGATTTGCAAAATAGTTCTCGTACCCATCTCGGTCCAAAGCAATTCCCGAGATCAAGTTGATCCGCAAATCAGGTACATGTCGTACGTCCTTTAGAACCAATGTGCATCCGACATTTGTCTTGATACAAATGTCACCAATTCCCACAATCATTGAGTAACTTGTGTTACCCATTCTCATAGTGCCGAAATCACCTGCTACATATCTGTAAAAAAAATCTCTTACCGGTGTGGCATGGTAAGATGTCACTATTTCAACCACCCATTCCGACTCTGGACCTGTCAAGTGCATGCATTCTTCTTCGTCATTTATGAAGAGAACAACATTATCATTATTTTGCACCATGGTGGTTGTGTTGTCGTTATTCTTCTGGCTACTGCTTTCACTTTTGCCCTTCCTTAGATTTGGGTAGTCTCTTTTGAAGTGACCTGGTTGATCGCAATTGTAGCAATTTCTGGCTTATGACTTGGATCGGTTCCTGGACTTCCCGCGAGCTCTAGATTTACCATAATTGCTTGAACTCCTTTGATAACTCCTGCCTCTACCTTATGTGATGAGAGCCTGTCCTTGATTTTTAGGCTTCTTTCTCATCTTCTCATTGAGTAGAAGAGTCGATGTGACGTCTTTCAACTCAATGGTAGTCTTTCCGTGCAGGATGGTTGTTGCCAAATTATCGTACGAAGATGGCAACGAGTTCAACAGCAAGATGGCTTTATCTTCTTCCTCGATTTTCACTCCGAGGTTGGCAAGCTGTGTGATAAGTCCGTTAAACACATTTAAATGTGACGAAAAATTCATACCTTCACCCATGTGTAAGGCGTATAACTGCTTCTTCAAGTACAATTTATTTGTCAGCGTCTTGGACATGTATAGGCTTTCCAACCTTGTCCAAATACCACATGCGGTGTCTTCATCAATGATGTTATTTACCACATCATCTGATAAGTGCAACCTGATTGCACTAGCAGCTTTTTCATCCAAGTCAACCTAATCCTCAGCTTTCATGGTATCAGGCTTTTTGGCATCAGCATCTAGTACCTTGTGTAGTCCTTGTTGAATGAGCAGATCCTTCATCCTTCTTTGTCATGTTGAGAAACTGCTATCTTCGTTGAATTTTGCTACCTCGTACTTTACTCCGGACATTTTTTTTTACCGAGTATAGTACTACCGACAATGAATAGTATTTTTATGAACGAGCAGAACCTGTGCTCTAATACCAGTTGTTAGGAATAAATCCCCATAGTACTAATATTTACGGTAATAAAAGCGGAATAATAATATAGCAGTGAGATACAGTAATCAACAAGAATAAAAGAGTGACAATGACACCAAGATTTTTACGTGGAAAACCCTTTTGAATAAGGGAAAAAAAAATACGATCCCAAGAGGAGAAACTGATATCACTATATTAAGAAATTTTACACTTTGTAGGCCCGAGTAAAATACTGCAAAGGCTACTACAACACTCAAAAAAAATAACCCTCTTTTGATATTCCACCTCACTACAATATCGTTCACACTCTGTATTTTTCCCACAGACCATTTTTTATACCATGTCTGTGATGCCTCACTCTTTCTTTATCTCTTTGTTGGTGTGTTTAAAAAAGTGAAAGAGCTCTCCTTTTATAGGAGAAATTATGTAGCCTCCAAGAATGCTGCAGGAGAATTGTTAATTCTCCTCCACAAATTTAACCTTCGGCTCCAAGTCTCTTTGCCAACCTATCTATAGGCACATGCCTATTTCACTTGTTATTTATTTGTTTTAACAATGGGTTGGACCCACAATATATATGCAATATAAGCAGAGCTCTTCTTGCAAACCAGATTATTGATTGGGGCGAATTAGCAGACCGTGACTCGGTGTGAAGCCACATTTCTTATCTTAAGAAAATATTTGTAGTATATTATGCTTCTCTCTGTTTTAACCATCTTAAATCTTTGAGAGAGACGAACGTTGATTTTGTTAATTTGGAAAGGACTATTGAAGGGACTTTCATGCAGTAATAGAAAAAGAAGCTCTTATTGCAACCTTCAATATGATTTACGATTGATGTTTAGCTTAAAGTATATATATTTCTATGTATATCGCCTCATATTTTACTTTTGTTTTGTGAATTTGGGATGTTAAATGCTATAATTTATGTTAATTTGAAGTGTTTTTATGTGTAGGAATGATTCGGGAGCAATTGGGGGCGAAACGCGCAAGATTTGAGCCAAAACGAACAAAACCGGACGAATGAAGCATTTGGGCGCCACAGGCAACGCATGGCGCCACCTGTGGCGCTGGAGGTAGAATGGAAGTTTGAGGCAACGCCCTGGTGGGCGCCTGGCGCTACCCAGGGCGCCAGTGACGTGATTTTATCCAATTTCGCCCGGGACAAGATTATTTCGGCCCTAGACCTACCCAACATGTATAAAAGCAAGATTAAACCTATTTTTGGAGGGGAGGACGCGACTTTGGAGATATCTAACACACTTTGAAGGAGAATTCACGTGGGGCAACACACACCATGCTTGGAGGAGGCTTCTAACTAGTTTTTCTTCTTTTCTCTTCCTTTAATTTCATAGTTTATTAGTTCTAGAGTTTTAAGGCGCTACATGAACGTTGTAGTTTGAAGTTTAAATTGTTCTTATTATTTATCATATTGGGTTATTTATCCAATCTTGCGTTTAATTATTTGATTGCTTGATCACCAATTGAATAATATCTACGAATCTAGGATTGAACTCGGGAGAGGGAATTCTAGATTGCATATAAGATTGAGTAGAACAAGATCTTAACTCTGAGGGGGAGTGGATTTGCGGTTAGGATAGGAATATACCTAATCGCCTTGCTTGGTTATTATACAGGAATTATAAATGTGTTCTTGTTAATCCTAATTCCATAGGAATATATGCGTTAGGTTAGCTTGAATAGGCGAGTAGTACTTTGGGAGAAGGCTACGAGCAATATTAACCCCGTCAATCAATAAACCAGATAAATTAATTAGACGATTTAAGTGGAAAACTCCACGGGATTGTTAGCTGACCCATAGATCTAGAATGTTCGCTCACATTGAATTCATCTCTATAATTTGCCAACTTATTTTCTTTAATCTCTTAATTTACTACTCTAGATTAATTTTAGTTAAATATTCATATGTTAGAGTTCGCTTGAATAGATTAATTATTTGGTTTAATTTAGTTGAGAGTTAATCACAAGTCCCTGTGGGTACGATATTTGGACGTACAATCCTATATTACTTGTCGGCCACGTATACTTGCGTGTGCGTTTGAGAGCAACAAGTTTTTAGCAACATGTTTTTGCGTGTGCGTTTGGCCACGTATACTTGCGTGTACGATCTCACCACTCCACAGCTTGAATTACTAGGCAAACGGAAAGCTGTATGTTCTATAGGGCATATCCGGGCCTCTATGTAAAACATACTATAATGTGACCAGTACAGAAAAAGTATGTGACAAATTGGAGAGAAAAAATACATGAAAGAAGACGCGAGTAAGTAAAGAAGTCTCTTGTGACTTGCTTTCTCAATTATAAGTTGAGTGATGGTAAGTCTTTCATGACATCAATTTGCTAAATTTGAGAAGACTATTAGTACCTTTGAACAAATAAGATGCATATGGATAATACCATCACTATTTGGTTTATCATTCAGAAGCTCCCTCTGTCATGAAACGACCTTTTTTTTAATTCAAAGGAAAGTCAAGCTTACATTCTCTTCCAAACATAGTTTGTTCAGGCAGAGCTTTTGCATAGTAAGAGTTATATACAATGATGACGAACTATAACAATAGTTACAATAAGATATCTGCTTCTAGTACATTTCAACTCAATAATGATGCGCTTCTAACCTGTATTTACAAGGAAGCAATTATGCTAAAGAACCATCTTACAATCACTATATCAATCTTCATACTGATAATCACGACATATTTGAGCATTAGATGCCAATCATGCACTAAAACCCCTCTGGAGGGAACTCCAAGTATTGGATGCAAAGCTGGGACAAGCTTGTGCTGATGCCTCCACCATCTGCGCCATCTTAATTCCAACGTTGCATATGTTAGCAATGGAGCGCATATGTTTCATTCCATACTGGGATAACGATCCACAATGTGTCTCAAATGTTCTTACCTGCACAAACAGGATTAATAAGACATATTGCCGATGAATATAAGCCATGAAACCATCCAATACAAATGATTTCTGCCACATACCCATATATTCAAACAAGCTACAAAAAAAGAAAGTTTCCTTTCCACCAGCAAATTCTAGAGATATTGATGAAAATGGGGTGTGTACTTACAAAGGATTTAAGGCAGTCCCAGTCATCAACAAGAGGCTGACCAGCAGGGCGGACACTACTTAGCACCTCTGGACCTTTTTTAATTCCAAATAGAAGTTTACCGACAAGGGCTATGCTGTTGTCCAAGTGCACTCTATGTGATATTGCTTCATTTAACTGTTTCTGAGCCTCAATTTTCCTCACAGAGCCCTCAGGAGCCTTGCGGAACTGCCAGTTTGGACAACAGAACAGGGAAGTCAGATATGAAGAATTTTCTTTGTTTAGGGGCAGAAGGACAATTCTGCGACAGTATGACTCATGAACTGGACGAACTAGGCACCAATTTTCATTCAGCAGTGCATAAATAAAGAAGTAGAATCATGTTTTTCAGATTAAACTCTTTCTCTGCACTGCATTTCAATGACAATATTACTCATGTTTTGAAACCAGTAGAAGCATCATTTTGGCAGCTTAACCTCACAAAAAGTGTGCCGGCACTAGAATTAACCTCAGAAAAAGTGTGCTTTTCTTTTTTAAAAAAAAAAAAAAACTAACCTCAACATAAAAGAGCATAATAATACGCCACATTGGCTCTTTTGAACCCTAAGAAACTTTAATTTCAAGATCCCTATAGCTTTGCTTGATTAAAAATAGTTCATTCAGCTTAATACCACCTCAGTACACATTCAGTTGATCCAGTTGATATCTGAAATGCTCAACTCTGAACTATTCGATGGTGAGTTATTAATTAAAAAAGAAACAGAAAGAAAAAAAAATCACATGGCAAGGAACATCAGATACAAAAATTTCAGTGTTTCTTTGACCTGAACATTATGTAGGGGCCTCTATAGTAGTTATGTCACCTCAAATATGGTGATCAAATAAAGTACTCATTGGCACCTAAAGGTGCCTGTTTTTATAGATGATAATACCACCAGTTGATGTGCATTTATTTCCTGCCGTTTTACAGGTGTAGGTAAATTACTTCTTTCATCCTTGGGATACTAACGTCTACAGTAAAAACACATATAAACTTGGAACATACCTTGTACCAAAAATGCAGAAGATCTGCATCACGCTGGTTAACGGCCTTTGATACTCGCAAGGAATTGTCATCCATAAAAGTATAATTATCATTAGCAGGATTTGTACCCATATATAAGTATAGAGCATCCTTGCTGAGATGTAGATCACCATATTGCATGACATGTGAACCATAAACAGGATTCCCAGTAGCAGTTCTCTCTTTGACCTGAAAAAACCAGCATTAGAGATGATTACAGCACACAATTCTTAAATGGCATCATATAAAACGTGCACGTTCATGATTATTCACAGCAAGAACCAAATCATCAGAGTATAAAATGACATCCACCTTACCCCTTTTTCCTTTCTCACTTTCACAACTCAGAAGTATTGGCTTCACTTTGTAAGTTCTTCATTTTACTACTATTATTTTTAACTTTTCTGATGAATCATGCACTCTATTGGATTACCACTATTCTCCACGTCCATAAGATCTTACCAGGTGATACTGCTGCTTCAGACTTTCAGTCCGCAGGTTGTGTAATTCACTGCTCAGGCACAAAGATACAGAGTCAACAAAAAATTATGCTGTTGAAACTAATAAAAATAATTTCATAAGCAGATTTATAGTTATAACAACTATCCCTTAGTCTCAACTAGTTGGGGTCGCTAATTAGCATGTTCATAATTGCATAATGAACAAAGTTGAACGTGAAGGAATAACAAATGGAAAGAAATTCTCATAAAGTCTCGAGCAGTAACTTAGGAGTTCTATAATCTCCAGTGAAGAATTCAAGAGTGTCTTCAATTTCTATGGCAATGATATTTTATATTATAGGGCTTGACAAACTAAAATTTTTCAAACATAGCTCTCTGTTGATACAGAAGTTGTACAATCTCCAGTATAGAAGAGAATGTCTTCAATTCTATGCCAAATTGCCAATAATATTTATAGGACTGATGAACTCATTAGCAAAGCAAGAAGGTCTAAAAAAAGCTTACACATTTGACAAATATCATAGTCAAAAATCACAACACATCTTAAACTAAAATAAATATCTTAAAGCTGTTCAACATGGTATTTATGTAATGACAGCAAAGGAAAAGCAGCAGGTGAAGAAGGTCAGAAAAGCCGCATGTACCTGTCCTCCATCCAGGAAATACTGTACAAGTCACCCAGGCAAGTCTCATATTCAATAGGAGGACTGGGATACTCTCCAGGACAATAGGTTCCCCAGCTACTCTCTTCAGCATTTGATGCTGTTGTGGCATAGATATTTAAACCTTCAGGAAGAAGACCCTCAAATATACTACCAGACTCACAAGCTTCAAGGTAAAATACCTGCAAATAGACAGAAGAAATAACTTAGAGAATGGAAAAGGACACCACACACACACACGTGTGTGTATATATATATATATATATATATATATATGAACCTAGAGCAGTAGGAGTTGGCAGGAAATATAACAGCTTACCAAGCTTTTATATGTTCCGGAAGCATGCTTCTTCTTCAACACGTCAATCAGATCGTTTGCATAGAGGTAAGGATCGGTAGGCATCCCTAGAGTACATGACAGTGTAATTAGCATATAAGGTGAAGGAACTATAAGAAGAATATGAAATAGGATGGAAGATTAATTATAGAAATATAGTTTAAAAGTTAAGGAGAATATATTAACTTGACAAAGCTATATGCTTGTAGATGATAATTGCTAATCTTAGAATAAAAACTCAAGTCTACAATAAAGTCAAGAAACTAGTAAGCGCCCAAACGATGCAATAAGTCGACTGCCCTATGTTTTCAATCGGAGTTCCCCAATGCATCCTTGAATTATTTTTTCTAGAAAAAACTTTTAGTGAGTGATAAAAGTGGTTAAAACATACTAGATGTGTCATCTTTATAGTTTTTTCTTAAATCCCCTTGTTAGAATTCTCGGCCCGCCATTATTCCAGACATTTGCTTTAGAAACAGAATTTCAAAGAACTGTTGCAGATTCAACAGATAGCAGTCTAATACATATATAACCAATTTACATCCTGTTTTTCTAACACAACAAGGACCAGCAGACATCAATGTCTGTCTAGCACTTTAAAAAAAGCTAAGAGGAAAGGTAAAACAGGAAAGGATCAAAGATTTTCGTGAAACAATCAGTATTTAGAAGTACTGAGAAGTTACTCACCAAGCACTCCAGGGCCGCCATGATCACTATAGAAGATGAGGATATGATCATTCGGACCACTATTCACCACCTTTCCGCTGCCTCCACTAAGAGCAGTTTTGTTCCCAAGGAGAGCAGCAAAAAAGTTGTTAACAGTAACATCATCCCCAGTGTAATCCTGCCTCAAGAGACAGCCTCTCAGAAACTGATATTACTAGGTATTATGTTAAAATATGAGGAAGTATATACACCTACCTTAGGAACTCCTTTGTAAACATCCTCACCATGAGGGCTATTAATGATAACTCCTGGTCTTGGATTCTCTTCATTGTTAGCAATGTCATCGTACATAAACACAACAATGTTCTCATCTTTGAGACCACCCTTCTTCAACAGTTGATATGCGTGGCATATATCAGCCTGAGTCAAGGTTGACAGTGCATATTAAGATTTTAAGTTGTATATACACGGTGTAACAAATATTTAGGCAGATTACTTATTAGATGATTATCGGTAAATCCCTTAACAAACATTAATTGGTAATTGGTAAAAATAGTAACTAACCTACTGTCACAATTTGAAAATAGTATGTTGAAATGTGTGACCATCTCATCATAAAGCTTAAGTTGCACACATTTATTTACTTAATTATGTCTTCAATACGCCCCCTCACGTGCAGGATTGATTTTTTTTTATGAGCCAAGCACGTGGAACTTTTTTTTTTTTTTTGATATTGGATGGCGGTGAGGCTCAAACCCAGAACCTCTTTACTTGCTCTTATATCATATCATGTTGAAATGTGTGACCATTTAATCTAAAAGCTTAAGCTATTAGAGAGAACACACTTTTATTTACTTAATTATGTCTTCAATAATGTAAATAACTTTACAATGTCAGTAGTATATAGAAAACCATGTAGAAGATTCATAAAGTCAATCTCAACTACTTTGCAATTGAGACACAATGAATTGATTGTTTTATTGGAGGAAGATGCTATTTTGCAACAATTATTACCCAAAAAATATTATTTAGATACTTGTTTGTATTAAGAAGACCTTTCAACTTCATAGAAGCTGCATACATTAGCTACAATACAACTATAGTCTAAAACACCTTCCTACTCATCAGAAACCAAGAAAATGACACCTTACACCAAAGCATAAATATCAACTAGCGCAGTGGCAGTGTACCCCACACCAGCTTTCTCGAAGCTGGTCCTAATTAATGGAGTATATTAAATGGAAACAAATTTAAGGAAAATTTTACTTTTCCTATTTTACGTGACACAATTTTCTTTTGGAAAATTTCACATAATAACAACTGAGCTCCCTACTTTTTAATTTTATAGCTTATATTTTAATTTACAACTAACTTGCCCAAAAATAATAAGATAATACTCAACATTCAACTCCAATAGGTTCTTGGAATTACTATTTAATTTTTAAAAAAGATTGCTCAAGCTTTTAAGTTAACTTTTGAATACTGTGACTCAAATATTAGTTCAACAAATCAAATCCACTTGGGTAGTGAAAATTAGATTTTTAACAAGCTTAAATATGTGAGTTTAAATTCCAAATTTGATTTCGTGAGAATTTTGGAGTGGGTATTATTGAAACTTGTTAGAAATAGTATAAGGAGGTTGTATATAAAATTTGAAGTCATTAATGGAGATTTGGACTGGTTTTGAACAAGAATTGCAACTGAAAATCGTGGAAGAAGTTTGTCTACAGTTGTTTGTATAAAGGTGTATAAAGTATAAGATATGTTTATACACTCATATACACTATTATACAAGATTATACAAAAAACTGATTTCGTCTTCTTCCTTGTTTCTTTTCTGAAATTTAACTCAAATCTTGCTCAAATCTATTCCAAATCACTTCAAATTTAAATGTTGAACTCCTTTTGATATTTGCAATCAATTGGAACAACACCCAATCCAAACAACTAACAAACTCAAAAAATCATATTTTCGAAAGCAAAGCTTTGAATGGCCTTCAATAGTGGACTTCTACTTTTCAATTTTCTTACATTGCAACCAGGTGACGTAGGGGGAGAAGCAGAAAATACACGATCCCTTGAAGCATATGTAGAAGATATGAGAAGAAGAGAGAGTGAAAGTAATGGTTGTGAGAATACATAATTAACTCCATAGGTTTTAGAAGCAGTGATTGTAAGAACACAAATTTTGAATTTGCAGTGCTTTCAAAATATGTACAATATGAGCTAGGTAAGGTAAAACTTAAAAACATTGGCCATTTTTTGTTATGGTGTGAAGCCATGTGTATTTTTTTGTAATTCTTTCTTTCTTTTTAACTTGTTGCAAAAAATAATTTCTTGTTTCCTATAATTATAAACTATTTAGCTTTAAACTCCTTAATGAGACAATTCATAACCATAAAATATTTATGATTTATTTTAGATTACAAAATTTCAATTTTACTTTCTTAAACTTCATCTGAGTCAACCAATATCACATAAAGAGTGAGTATGGGAGAAATATCTATTGCAGTGGTTGGGCCCACAACCAACATCCATAATTACGCCAAAAAAAAAAGGAAAAGGTCAAGCAACACACGTAAGTCCATAGAGAATTAAGAAACTTCGCTCTTGTGTGGTTGTCACCAATAGTAACTTCCCACCATGTCCAACTAATTTTCGGTTGAGAACTAAGACTCACCTTTCAGCTTTATAAAGTAAAATAAAATAAAATAAAGTTGTATCAAATAAGTCTGAATCTCCATACCTTCTAAATTTTACCAAGCACTTACGTTATAAACTTTTTTTGGATAGGTTTGACAAATATCTATTTGCGTGCATCAAACTCATTCATTGTCAAATCTTTTATAATGTACAAAAGTATGTGCCGAATAACTATGTTCACTAAAGTTGGAGCAAGTGAGCTCCAAACTCACACTTATTTTAATTAGTGTTATCACTATGATTTGACCTGAAATATTCATGTTGATACCAGTGGCGGACCCGAGTGGTGGCTAGCGGGTTCAGTTGAATCCGCTTCACAAAAAAATAATACTGTGTATATATATATATATTAGGATTAAAGCTGTGTAAATTTTGTATAAATATTTATTTGAACCCACTTGACAATTAGTATTTTACGACTAAAGTTATAGACTTCTAAGATTGAACCCGCTTGCACAAAATTCTGGGTCCGTCGTCACTGGTTGATACTGTTATAACACCTCAACCATTCAATATATAATGACAATCACCAAAGTCCAAAGATACTTCAATAAATAAATATAACACTAACATAGATTCAATTAACTTATATTATCCTTAAGCAACTCGCACTCACAAGCAAAATAAAAGTCGCACAAAAAGAAAAGGTGGAAGTGATTATTTTCAGGAGATGAAGGGAAATATGAAAACAAAAGCTAGAGAATAAAATTATTGTAGGAAAAAATAAGTAAAAAAATATGTAGGATAAATAGTGTGGATAATCTGACCTGGTGACGGTAATTCCAATAACCGTTAGATCCGGCTAGCAGGATAGCCCATCTGGTACCGACGGAGTCGTCATCATGATCATCGCCGACATTACTCTTATCGGCACCGAAGAATCTAGAAACTTCTGACGGAAGTTTCAAAACATTACGGCTCTCTGAAACGGCGACGTTAAGTGCGAGTCCAATTATGAACAGAGTACCGGCAATGTGACGAATCATTATCAGCTCCGGTGATACAAGGAAAAAAAATGGAAGAAGCTGTTATATCAAAGGTAGGGGCGGCAAATGGATTATGTAAATTTATATAACAATGTTCCGTCATGGATATGTAAATTTATAGAGTTTGATATGGATATTCATTGATATGACGTGTACGGTTGAGATCCAAGTCGGCTTGGATTTGCTTTTTGATTGGACCATCCGCCTTTAAACGGACCTACTATGTTTTTATTTTATCGTAAAGAATTAATCTAAATAACCCAAATTAAACTAAAATAGACAGAAAATGTATAATATATATAATATTCATGTAGAATAATTATATAATAAGTGTATAATTTATATATACCTGCTAAGAAAAAATAAACAGTAAATTTAGCGGGCTATTTATGTAAAGATTTTTTTCATGGACCTACTATGATTTATACTCTTCTCTTTTCGAAGTTTGTTATACGTAACTGCTGATACAACCTCTTGTTTGCTCTTTTCTTTCGGTAATTAATTTCCAACTTTTTACTATTAGAATCTGGACTGTTTTTGCGATATTGTTCGAGATAGTTCCTCTTGTTCTACGGTAAAATAAGATTGGAGTACTAAGAATTTAGGGACAGATAGGGTTTGGTATATATTTGCGCAGAAACTAAAACTGGCGTGGAAAAGGCATCTTTACATATTGCTAACACTAATCTGCAATAAACAGACCATAAAGAATTTGAGTGACGTGGGCATCCAATTTTTTTCGGTAAAAGAGTTGTAAAGAAATTAAGTATTAAACATTATAGACTAATTCCTTTTTCTTTGGTTGCTTTTAGCCTATCTTTGTCGGTTGTTTTCCTTTTGATTTGGCTACCGCCTAGCGTTTCTCTTACTCTGAGTTTCTCCATTGCGGTTAAATTTCTACTTTATTCTAGTGAAAAACACTACGATAAGGATTAAGCAATAACAATTATTATTTCTACTATATCTTAATTTTAATAAAGTTAAAATTGACTATATGGATTCTCCTTGACATATCGTTTTTGTTTGACTCAAAAAATATTAAAACTTTTTTGAACAAATCAATTAAAGAAGAAAGGGTAAATCTTAGCTGAGAATAATAATCTCTAGAAAGGGTGATAGATAAAGAGAAGATAGGTCACGAAATTTCTTTTTATTCATAAATAATAATCACTCCAGAGTTCGGAATGCCTGTTACAAGATTATTGTCCTCTTTTTATACTAAGAGAGAAACTCTTCTAAACTGTAAAAGATAAAATACAAGGAATATTCCTAATGTTCCCTAATGGCCATACATTATTACAAAGGTCGTCCAGTCTCTAGTTTGTCTCAGGGTCGTCTCCCTCAGGACGTCAATTCAAGGAGGCTCCGTCAATCATCGTACTCGTTGTCGGTCGTGGTTGGTCAAATTTGGACCCATACAGTTAGTCCCTCCACTTGTCGGGGTCGCAACTGGGTGCATCCTCGATGTGTTCCTATGGAGAAATTTGAGCCGTTGAGACGTTACGGAGTGGCCATGGGGGAAGGTCATCGTTCTTAGCAAGGCACCAGGTAATATGCTTTACTGGGAAATGATGTCATTTTCACGTGCGTCATCATCACGCATGTTTTCGAGGCAGGAGTTGGTGGCTTGATGCTTCGATTTCAGCGCTACTTTGTGACTTCTGGCGCCACCCAACCCTATAAATAGGTGAAGGGTTTGTTTTTTCGAAAGATTTTAGCCATTCCACTCTTGATAACCTCCTTCATTCTTCCGAGCTTGCCCTTATACCTTTCTGCTTCTTCTTACGTTCTTCATTCGAAGCTTCTTCCTCCTTCTTCCGTTTGTATTAATACCTCTTTGAACGATATTATGCCAAGGTCCCGTCGTTCTCGTGAAGAGGTTCCTGAGGCCACCCCATTGTCCACGGGCCCCCTTCTGGCGGTGAAGATACGGTGGTGGAAGAGGGTGACAGCTTTCCTACGGTGGAGGAACTACTGCCGAGACATCCCTTATCTCGTAGTGACTTCCTCAAAGATCCCCCTCCTACTCCAGACCCCGTATTCTCTGAGACAGAGCAAGTTCATATTGATGCTCTTCGTCTAAAGTATGACATTCCCGCTCATGTAGATATGGTTCCGGCGGGGAGAGATTTCGTAGATGTCCACAAACCTGGGTACTGCACTTTCTATGAGTACCCTTTCATAGTTGGCTATACTCTTCCTCTCTTCCACTTAGCGGAAGAGTTCTGCAGGTTCTACCAAGTTTATCCGGCACAACTTTCACCGTATACGCTCAAGATACTTTTGTTGTTGACCAAGTATGCAGAGTTGGCAGAGTGTAACATTTCTATCCACCACCTTTTGCACCTGTTCACGTCTGGCTTCCATAGGGGTACCATGGTGCATTTGAGGCTCCATGGTACGAAAGGGCTAGTGGTCGGGACAGATGACCGGGCAAGTCGCAAGTTTTGGCATAAGTACTTCTTTGTCAAAACTGAACATGTCGTTTCTGACTCTGCCAGGTTCCCGGAGCGACGGAATGAGACCCGTAAATGTCATCACTCGTTTTACTCTTCCTTCATCTGTATTTGTTATAAAGTTCGTTGGTTTCCCGTTTGCAGCTATGGGACGTCCACCTCGCCCGATTGCGGATATCAGGGATTGGGTAGCCCGTCTGTTGCCTTATGTAGCAGAAACCCAAGATTGGCCCACCTTCGTGAAGCGTTACGACCCTAAAGTCCCCTCTGGTAAATGTTTTCCTTACCACTTCGTTGGCCGTATGACCTTGTTTATTAATACGACCCTTTGTGATGACAAGTCGAGGAGCTTTTAGGCGTAGGACGCTAATCCCTACATTTCAGCAGGCCGTTGCTGCCGTGGATATGTAGCTTATTTTGAGTGAGTCTATTCGAGGGGGTCATCCTCAACCTATTCAATTAGAATGTCCCTCTCGAGTCGTGTTCGTGAGGGAAGAGGCTTTTTCGGTATCGGCCTCACACCCTTTGGACAAATCTTCTAACGGGGATGAGCCGTTATCGAGAAAAAAAAGGAAGGTGGAGCTTGGGAAGGGCATGGCCATGGACGCTGATAGAGGCAGGGCGTCGTAGATGGCGCCCGTGCCCGTATTTATGGGTGACGCCATTTTATCGGGGAGATCTCCCCAAATGGAAGGAGTTTACCCATGAGCCGGCTCAGTAACTTCTACTGAGGGTGGTGCATCGTTCAACGTCATAGGCCGCCGTGTTGAGGGTGACGACTTAGGTTCAGATGTCGACCCAGAGGATTTCAATGAGTTCGTAGGCCGCCATACTCATGTGGAGGTCAGAATAGAAGGGTTTGATCGTCACATAGTCGTCCCGGGGGACTATAACTTGCTGCTGAACTGCGAGCAAGTGGCATCTGCTCTAGCTCCTCTATTTGCTGCCCCTGAAAATGAGGTGCTTAGGGCGATGAGTGACATGGAGTTGTCTCAGAAGGTTGTCGGTATGGCCTTGCGGGTAGGTGACTTTCCTTTCCTTTTCGTCGTTGGGTTTGTGTGGTGATCATTGTTCTGCATTTTGTTTCTAACTTTTCATGGAGATTGAGTGAGAGCGTAGGGAGAGGATAAGGACGACCCTTTATGAGAAGATGTCGTCCAAATATCATCAGTATCGTGCTAAGCATCGCGCGATGTCCTACATTTATCACTAGGACCCTGAGTTTCAGTTGTTTTGCGAGGGGCTCAAACAGCGGGACGACCAACTAGAGAGTAAGATCGAAGAGTTGAGGGAGCGGGATGAGGAGCTCATGAAGACTGTCTCCCGTAATAGTAAACTCGAGGCTTCCCTTAAAGTGAAGGATGACGACCTTGAGTTGAGCAGGGGGGTGATGGACGAAAATGCCGACTTGCAGCCAAAGGTGGCCAGTTTGACCGTTGAGTTAAGTGCGAAGGCGGTGGAGGTAGAGGGGCTTAAGGGCGAGCTGAGCGCTGGTACTGATAAGTTGGCGGCAGCTATTTCTGGAACTGCATCTTTGGAGAATGCCCTCCGCGTTTGCAGGTCGGAGCTGGCTAAAGAGAAGAAGGCCTCTAGTTGTAAGGTTGCGGGGCTCGAAGGGCGTATCAAGGAACTGGAGGCGGAGCTGTCTACGTTAAACGGACAAGTGGCCTTGCTGAGGGCAGAGGATGCGAATCGACGTTCTCAGCCTTCTACATCTCATGCCTCAGCTGATCCGATCGTGCCTCATCGTTTATATGAGTTGTGGGTCCATGTTGAGGCTCGTTTTAACGTGTACAAGGCTTTTTACGCCGAGGGGAGGACAACTGAGGCAGAGCTTCAGGCCATGCACACCGAAGCTCGTGTAGCTCATGAGGCATACGGGTACGACCCCCTTACACCTGATAGAGATGACATCAACTCTGATGACGTGAACCGTCTTGCTTCGGACTCGTGGTACGAAGATGCTTACCCCACCGGGGGGTAATGTGTAGTCTTTGTTTGTACTTGCTTTTGTTTTGGGGTTTTTGTAGGGGGCGTACTTGAGCCCATGTAAAGACAAGTGTAATCATTTTGATGCAATGTAAAATATATTTTGTCGATTCGCTCTTCTTTGCAATGTTTATGATATCCGGGATACATGTCGAGCTTATTAAGTCGATTTGATTTTAGGCGATTTTGATGCAATGTAAAATATATTTTGTCGATTCGCTCTTCTTTGCAATGTTTATGATATCCGGGATACATGTCGAGCTTATTAAGTCGATTTGATTTTAGGCGATTTTGATGCAATGTAAAATATATTTTGTCGATTCGCTCTTCTTTGCAATGTTTATGATATCCAGGATACATGTCGAGCTTATTAAGTCGATTTAGATTTTGGGCGAAGATTCCTCTTTTTTTTTTTTTGTCGATGGCCTTGGCCATTGGGATGTTGCTTCGGCCTGTCGTCGAAGTAGTATCCCGTTGTAGTTCGAACGAGGTCGAGCTCATGTTTTTGTCGATGGCGTTGGCCATTGGGATGTTGCTTCGAACTGTCGTCGAAGTAGGATCCCGTCGTAGTTCTAATGAGGTCAAACTCATATTTTTGTCGATGGCCTTGGCCATTGGGATGTTGCTTCGAACTGTCATCGA